CGTTAACTTACCGCTGACAAATTCCATTGTTGACAAATCCCCCCCAAAAAATAAACGTTTCCGCTGACAAATTCCATTGTTGACAAATACCCCCAAAAAATAAACGGTGCCGCTGACAAAGTCCATCGCTGACAAAAATATTAACTGCGTAATAGTTTAGTATAAACCCACAGCAGAGTAATAGTTTAGAGTATTAACCCACAGCAGAGTAATAGGTTAGAGTATAAACCCACAGCAGAAAAATAGTTTAGAGTATAAACCCACAGCAGAGTAATAGTTTAGAGTATAAACCCACAGCAGAGTAATAGTTTAGAGTATAAACCCACAGCAGAGTAATAGTTTAGAGTATAAACCCACAGCAGAGTAATAGTTTAGAGTATAAACCCACAGCAGAGTAATAGTTTAGAGTATAAACCCACAGCAGAGTAATAGTTTAGAGTATAAACCCACAGCAGAGTAATAGTTTAGAGTATAAACCCACAGCAGAGTAATAGTTTAGAGTATAAACCCACAGCAGAGTAATAGTTTAGAGTATAAACCCACAGCAGAGTAATAGTTTAGAGTATAAACCCACAGCAGAGTAATAGTTTAGAGTATAAACCCACAGCAGAGTAATAGTTTAGAGTATAAACCCACAGCAGAGTAATAGTTTAGAGTATAAACCCACAGCAGAGTAATAGTTTAGAGTATAAACCCACAGCAGAGTAATAGTTTAGAGTATAAACCCACAGCAGAGTAATAGTTTAGAGTATAAACCCACAGCAGAGTAATAGTTTAGAGTATAAACCCACAGCAGAGTAATAGTTTAGAGTATAAACCCACAGCAGAGTAATAGTTTAGAGTATAAACCCACAGCAGAGTAATAGTTTAGAGTATAAACCCACAGCAGAGTAATAGTTTAGAGTATAAACCCACAGCAGAGTAATAGTTTAGAGTATAAACCCACAGCAGAGTAATAGTTTAGAGTATAAACCCACAGCAGAGTAATAGTTTAGAGTATAAACCCACAGCAGAGTAATAGTTTAGAGTATAAACCCACAGCAGAGTAATAGTTTAGAGTATAAACCCACAGCAGAGTAATAGTTTAGAGTATAAACCCACAGCAGAGTAATAGTTTAGAGTATAAACCCACAGCAGAGTAATAGTTTAGAGTATAAACCCACAGCAGAGTAATAGTTTAGAGTATAAACCCACAGCAGAGTAATAGTTTAGAGTATAAACCCACAGCAGAGTAATAGTTTAGAGTATAAACCCACAGCAGAGTAATAGTTTAGAGTATAAACCCACAGCAGAGTAATAGTTTAGAGTATAAACCCACAGCAGAGTAATAGTTTAGAGTATAAACCCACAGCAGAGTAATAGTTTAGAGTATAAACCCACAGCAGAGTAATAGTTTAGAGTATAAACCCACAGCAGAGTAATAGTTTAGAGTATAAACCCACAGCAGAGTAATAGTTTAGAGTATAAACCCACAGCAGAGTAATAGTTTAGAGTATAAACCCACAGCAGAGTAATAGTTTAGAGTATAAACCCACAGCAGAGTAATAGTTTAGAGTATAAACCCACAGCAGAGTAATAGTTTAGAGTATAAACCCACAGCAGAGTAATAGTTTAGAGTATAAACCCACAGCAGAGTAATAGTTTAGAGTATAAACCCACAGCAGAGTAATAGTTTAGAGTATAAACCCACAGCAGAGTAATAGTTTAGAGTATAAACCCACAGCAGAGTAATAGTTTAGAGTATAAACCCACAGCAGAGTAATAGTTTAGAGTATAAACCCACAGCAGAGTAATAGTTTAGAGTATAAACCCACAGCAGAGTAATAGTTTAGAGTATAAACCCACAGCAGAGTAATAGTTTAGAGTATAAACCCACAGCAGAGTAATAGTTTAGAGTATAAACCCACAGCAGAGTAATAGTTTAGAGTATAAACCCACAGCAGAGTAATAGTTTAGAGTATAAACCCACAGCAGAGTAATAGTTTAGAGTATAAACCCACAGCAGAGTAATAGTTTAGAGTATAAACCCACAGCAGAGTAATAGTTTAGAGTATAAACCCACAGCAGAGTAATAGTTTAGAGTATAAACCCACAGCAGAGTAATAGTTTAGAGTATAAACCCACAGCAGAGTAATAGTTTAGAGTATAAACCCACAGCAGAGTAATAGTTTAGAGTATAAACCCACAGCAGAGTAATAGTTTAGAGTATAAACCCACAGCAGAGTAATAGTTTAGAGTATAAACCCACAGCAGAGTAATAGGTTAGAGTATAAACCCACAGCAGAGTAATAGGTTAGAGTATAAACCCACAGCAGAGTAATAGTTTAGAGTATAAACCCACAGCAGAGTAATAGTTTAGAGTATATAAACCCACAGCAGAGTAATAGTTTAGAGTATAAACCCACAGCAGAGTAATAGTTTAGAGTATAAACCCACAGCAGAAAAATAGCTTTCGAATAGTTCTGGTTGGGACAATAACTTGTATACGTGGAGTACAGTCAGATGTTCTCAGAATGCCTAGACATCTATAAATGATACACAAATGGGTTATGCCACATGTAAGTTACGTACCGTTTCATACAAGGTGCCTCTTTATACTAAACATTTACCTATGATGTACGTTGTTTATTCATACAACACATTGTCATGGAACATTTTTAGCTGCGTTTTATCTACTAAATCAACGATTAAATAGATGACAAGTAATTTCTATGATAGTTATATGTTCTTTATCTGACTTTGCAATCATAGTTACGACAGCACCAACATGTACAAACTTCAAGTTTTCATAGAAAAATAGAATAACCTATTACAATGAAACAACAGTCACATTGAGCTATATGTTACACTGACAGCCATGGTATCAGTACACGTGGTGTATGATAATTTGTTATAAAAAAAGAAAAGAAAACAAAAGAATACCGAAGGATACAAAAACCTTAAGTCGAACTCAAAATCGATAAACTATCGCAAAATAGGAACAAAGCGAACCATTTTTTCCGGAATAGTAAGCGGGTTCTGCTACTAGATACGATCTAAGTAACGGTACATCATCCAATGGTCTCGGTAGTGACCACATCAGCACGATGTTTACGAATGATTACAATAAAATTATCGACCTTCATACATGTATCACATAGAGAAATAGCATTTTCCCTACGAGAACAGAAACTAAAAAATAAACGTGACGTGGAACTTTGCATTTTAATACTACATCAGTAGGAACAAGGACCATTCAATATTGTCTTAAATACAAGTTAATAGTAATTAAGACAAGTAAGCAATGCATGAATGCAACTGTAAGCAAAATCTGTATGAAGTAGGAGTTTGTTTAGCAGGCCCTTAGTCTGTTACACGGAACAGTATAGTATAATATATACGTGATAGTATAGTTCAACACATGCAACTGAACAATTTATTCAGCAAAAATCAGTTTGGATTTCTCCCCAGAAGATCAACAACACTTCAAATGTTAATCGTCCTAGATGAGTGGACTCATATGTTGGATACGGGAGGAGAAATTGATGTCATTTATATGGATTTTATGAAAGCTTTCGACAAGGTACCCCATCGCCGTCTAATACACAAGCTATATAATTATGGAATCAGCGCGAAAACTGTAAAATGGATAGAAAATTTTTTAAGTGATAGACATCAAAAAGTAGTGGTTAACGGATCTACATCCAAATTACAGAACGTCTTAAGCGGAATTCCTCAGGGGAGTGTTTTAGGACCAATACTATTTGTTATGTATATCAATGACATGCCCGAGAACACTGCGTCATCGTGCCCGCTATTCGCGGATGATACTAAATTATACCGCAAGATACGAACTGATGAGGATAAGGAAATTCTACAAGCAGATTTGAATAATCTTCAAAAATGGTCTGATGATTGGCTTTTGAAATTTCATCCGAATAAATGCAAGGTTCTTCAGGTTAAAGGATCACCAAACAATAATAGAACATACCGTCTCGCGAGCAAAACTGGAGAATTCGTACTTGACAAAATTAACAGTGAAAAAGATTTAGGAGTAACGGTGGATGCAAACCTGGACTTTCGGACCCACATTCAAAACTCAATAAATAAAGCTAATTCAGTACTCGGGATTATTAGAAGATCATTTACTTTTTTGGACGAATCGATTTTTAGACAGTTATTTAAGGCTCTGGTAAGACCGCATCTAGAATACGCAGCCAGTGCGTGGAGTCCGTATAAACTTAAAGATATCCAGATGATAGAGAATGTACAACGGAGAGCCACTAAGCTTCTTCATGGATTTAAAGAAATCTTCTACGAAGAACGTTTAGAAAAATTAAAACTACCGACACTAAAACACCGAAGGAATAGAGATGATTTGATTAACTTTTTCAAGATTGTGAAGAGGAAGTTTGATGAGAAAGTCACGTCAGACATATTTGTCTACGTTAATAACGAAAGAACACGAGGACATAAATTTAAGCTGTATAAACAACAATGAAGAACAGAGCTAAGGAAAAACTCGTTCACGTTTAGGGTAGTTGATATCTGGAACGGTCTACCGGAATCGGTTGTAAATGCAGAAACCACGAAGGACTTTGAGATCCTGTTGGATAACCATCTGAAGGACACTATTTACAATAATTACTGATAATGACTTTTAAAATAACTCTTTTGGGAAAGTTTATATATGTTAACCAGTGACAATATAATATTTTTATACTATGTTTTGTGATATGGACTTAGAGGCTTTCAGCCTGCGTCCATTAATTTTCAATTAAATCAATTAAATAATATATAAAAAAGGACACTCATTTTCTCTAAAAGTGAATTTATAAGACATGTTTCATTTTGTAAATTGGTCGGTGTATTTCCGAAGACGAAAACTGTGTTGTTAATTTCGAAACCGTTCCAATTATTCGATTACCATTCTATTTCGTGACCCAAAGAATTTCGTAATCAGCTTGTTTGGGCAGCGTGTCAGTATAGTTCATAAATACAAACAAAACATGAGTCAACTTTCATGACCAGTACCAACGATCCAGAAAGTCACCTCCAGAATGGACAGAGGCAAGTGTGACCCCGGAGTAGTGGTCTGTGTACCTAGGTTTGTCACGAGAATCAATGCTCAGCACTTAAAGTATGTAAATATTGCTCACAATGTAGACCTCGGTATTGCGTCCGAATCGTATAGCAAATCCATATTTCTATTTGTCAAGGTCAGCGCAATGGAGCGAGTGCGCACATGTATTGTTGATTGTTGTGAAGTCGAACAAAATGAATCCATTGCTTTGTTTTAAAACACGTTTTCTCTTGGTTGGATATTTGTCTTTGTAAGCTTGCCACCAGAACATAGTGTGATGTAATACAGATCTATCAATTGATCAAAGTAAGGCACATATACTAATGGTAGGTTGTATACTATACAAGTAAGTCAGGTAGTACACAGGTAGGCTTTGGTATATAAAGGAAGGTTATGTGTAAATGAAACTAAGGTATCACACATTATAAAATAAAGATACAAACGAATTAATTAGATCAATATCTTTAATAACGTTACCCTTAATAATGATTTTATAATCAACCCAGACTAATTACGGCGAGTGATTTAAGACTTGAGTTAAACACGTTACACATACACTGCTACTGTTATATACCAAGGGTAGAGCTTTACAAAACGAAAAATTAAAGTGTGAATTACGAGGAGATACTGTTGAACACATCCTATTTTAATGTAAAGGGAACCAGAACGTTTTACTTTATCATTGCCACTGTAACCACTGTTACCACTGTAACCACTGTAACCACTGTAACCACTGTTACCACTGTTACCACTGTAACGACTGTTACCACTGTAACTACTGTTACCACTGTTACTACTGTTACCACTGTTACCACTGTTACTATTGTTACCACTGTTTCCACTGTTTACCACTGTTTTCACTGTTACCACTGTTACCACTGTAACGACTGTTACCACTGTAACTACTGTTCCCACTGTTACTACTGTTACCACTGTTACCACTGTTACTACAGTGGTAACAGTAGTAACAGTGGTAACAATGATAACAGTGGTAACAGTGGTAACAGTGGTAACAGCGGTTACAGAGGTAACAGTAGTAACAGTGGTAACAGTAGTAACAGTGGTAACAATGGTAACAATTGTAACAATGGTAACAGTAGTAACAGTAGTAACAGCAGTAACAGTAGTTACAGTGGTAACAGTGGAAACAGTGGTGACAATGGTAACAATGGTAACAGTAGTAACAGTAGTAACAGCAGTAACAGTAGTTACAGTGGTAACAGTGGAAACAGTGGTGACAATGGTAACAATGGTAACAGTAGTAACAGTGGTAACAGTAGTAACAGTGGGAACAGTGGTAACAGTAGTAACAGTGGTAACAATGATAACAGTGGTAACAGTGGTAACAGTGGTTACAGTGGTTACCACTGTAACCACTGTAACCACTGTTACTACTGTTACCATTGTTACCACTGTAACTACTGTTACTACTGTTACTATTGTTACCATTGTTACCATTGTTACCACTGTTACTACTGTTACTACTGTTACCATTGTCACCATTGTTACCATTGTTACCACTGTTACTTCTGTTTCTACTGTTACCATTTTTACCATTGTTACCACTGTTACTACTGTTACCACTGTTACCATTGTTACCATTGTTACCACTGTTACTACTGTTACCACTCTTACTGCTGTTTCTAATGTTACTAATGTTACTAATGTTGCTACTGTAACCACTGTTACCACTGTTACCACTGTAACCACTGTTACCATTGTTACCACTGTAACCACTGTTACTGCTGTTACCATTGTTACCACTGTAACCACTGTTATCTCTGTTACCTCTGTTACCACTGTTAATACTGTAACTACTGTTACCATTGTTACCACTGTAACTACTGTTACTACTGATACTACTGTTACCACTGTTACCATTGTTACCACTGTTACTACTGTTACCAATGTTACCACTGTTACCACTGTTACCACTGTTACCATTGTTACCATTGTTACCACTGTTACTACTGTTACCACTCTTACTACTGTTTCTAATGTTACTAATGTTACTAATGTTACTACTGTAACCACTGTTACCACTGTTACCATTGTTACCACTGTTACCACTGTTACTACTGTTACCACTGTTACCACGGTTACTATTGTTACCACTGTTTCCACTGTTTACCACTGTTTTCACTGTTACCACTGTTACCACTGTAACCACTGTAACCACTGTTACCATTGTTACTACTGTTACCATTGGTTACCACTCTAACTACTGTTACTACTGTTACTACTGTTACCATTGTTACCATTGTTACCATTGTTACCACTGTTACTACTGTTACTACTGTTACCACTGTTACCACTGTTACTACTGTTACCACTGTTACCACTGCAACTTCTGTTACTACTGTTACTACTGTTACTACTGTTACTACTGTTACCATTGTTACCACTGTAACCACTGTTACTACTGTTACTACTGTTACCACTGTTACCATTGTTACCACTGTTACTACTGTTACCACTGTTACCATTGTTACCATTGTTACCACTGTTACTACTGTTACCACTGTTACCACTGTTACCACTGTTACCACTGT